GGCATTGTAGTTGAAGAAGTGCGGTTAAAAAGTTTTTGGCACGCCGCAAAGCGATTTCTCGCGTTCTCCCCATTGCAAGAAGCTTTTAATAATGTCGCACGACTTTCGTTATTTTCCTTATTTTCTTAACGCTTCTGCTTTTCCCTTTTGGCGGCGGGGCAACTTTGTCAGCCAGCGACTGAAGCTCAAGTTATTTTCATAAGATTTCGCGCGCTGCCGACTCAAAGGGCAATTCATTTCGTAAAAATCGGTATTGGGATTGGGTTTTTAATCCACAATAAAGCCAAGGCATCCATGAACATATGTGGGGGCGTTATCCTGGCACTCGAGTGTTTGGTTGGGTGTAATTGCATGTCAATTGCACGCTTTTTCCAAATGCGAAGCAGGCCGAGGGAAGTTACAACACTCGCATTCAATTATGGCAACTTTTTCTTTGCCTTTTTTTTTTGCCAGTCGCCTCTTCACAATGCGCACAATTTACTTGACGCTTGGTGCGGGTGTAATTTATTTTAATTAAAAAATTTGAATTTTGCACATGCGGGGGAAGTCTAACTTTAATTTCCCCTTCGTATGCATTGTTGGAAACTTTTTAAAAATGAAAAGCGTACACATTTCAATAACAGAGTAATTATCAATTTGCCAAAACTAGTTTGGTACTCTCAAAATGCATTTGGCTTAAGGAAAGTTTCGTTTTTTTTTATATATTGCAGCATTTTTAGCATAAAACATTCATTCAAATCGCAATTTCCATGAGAACTAGTAGGAATTTAAATAATCCGCAGGGATTTAATCAGGGAAATTTTGTTTTAGATGGCAAAGTTGTTATTAAAGTGTAAAATCTGGTTTTATATTATGAAAATCCAATAGGCTTAACTTTTTTCCCCATATGGAAACATTTTTAGCATAAAAATTGCCAAGATAAAAAATTTTGTTTTAGAATTAAGACAGAAGACAGGCAACAAAAACTCACCGATATCGCCAGAAGTTCGTCATAGATTGAACCTCCTTCCGCTCGGCGGTGTCAAATTTTCCACCGACTCCTTCCTTGGTCAGTCGATCGAGGACCGTGTGCCGCAGGACAAAGTCCACAACGGCCTTCTTCATGGCGAACACATAATCCGCACGGACCTCCGCTATATTGTCATTGAGGGCGGTCTGCCATTTGTAGAGCAACGGAGGCACAAGATCTGTTATCCTGGAAAATGAAATTGGGTATTAGAACCAAAATGCAAATACTTTTGTTTAAATATAAATATTTATATAATATGTATCCTCGAATACATATGATATATAAATATTTTTTTTAAATAAACAAATATTTAAAATTTAACATTTTTTCTCCTTTAGTAAAAGATAAGTTAAGCTAAAGCTTTATTACTATAATTTTAAAGGCATCGTTAAAGAAAATCAATAAATTATCTTAATATTTCTAAAATACTATTAATCGGTGGCCTAATTTATCTAGAGGATAACCAATGGGATATCGTTCCACTTACCTCTTGAGGATCTTCTTGCTCAATGGCGACACGTGAATGGTGTCGATTCCGTGTTTGATGTAGTAGTAATACCGCAGGATCTCACGCTCCTCCTGGTCGGGGAAGGGTATGGCACACTGGGCGGCCAGCTCCGGATCCTGGTCGTCGTCCATGTGCAGTATGAGCTCCACCAGCTTGCGCCGGAAGTGCTCCCGCTCCAGGCGCATGGTCATGTAGTTGGCCTTGGCCACCGCGCTGTCGCGCTTTTTCTGGCGTTTCTTCTGATTTTTCTTCATGCAGAGGATGTTGTCGGGCAGGTCGGATAGCATCTTGCCGTCCAGCAGCGAGCTGGCGCACTCCGGCATGTTCAATTCGTACCACAAGCGACGCGACTTGTACTCCGGATTGGCCTTTGACTGCAGGATGCTCTGGAGAACATCCGGCTTGGGTCGGGTGTACAGCATCTTCGACTTGTCGCACAGGCGGCGGGCACCGCATATGGACGTGAAGCTGGGGATGCTGATCTCCCGATTCGGATTCTGTCTTCCTTGCATGTTGCGGCCTGAAAATTTAAAATTCTATATTACATATAAAGAAATGGGAGAATACGATGAAATGTTCTCATGTTAATTATATCTTAGCCTATCCATTACATATTTTTTCTTAATTTAAAATTTTTAACCTTAATCCGATATGACTTTTATTAAAAGAAAATTTGAATTGTGAAACGTTTCGAAACAGTTAAAAACGGTTAAACGGTTGTGGTATTCACTAAGCCACCGAGCGACATCCGATAGGTTCGCGACTATCGATATCGGGCGAACAGCTGTTTGACACACGCGCCTGACCGGCTTTTTTGCCATCCCTAACTCGTTGAATTGTGCAACCCGGAAAATTGTCAAAATTTTCGTAGTCCCCACATAAATTACACACTACGCACACAAATCAGGCGAATTGACCGGCCGACTTACCAGTCGTTCACCTATCGAGGCAACACACACGGTTTGGATTAATTCGCGCCGCAACGCGATTAATTAAACTGACTCGATCCGAACACACGAAGGAGTTGAAAACAAATGCAAATCACACGTTCCGGTTGTTTAGAATGAATTGATTTTCGTGGCAAACACAAACTGGGGAAACACATAACGACAGGTCGGAAAAACAAACACCGTTCGGTTGCCCGTGGCAGCAGGCAAAGAGCAACAAGTCCACCCATCGCCCTTGGAAAAAACATCAGTTTAGGTTTCATTTAAAAGTCTCGGCTTCGAAAATGCTGTTCCAAAAGATATTCACCCGTGCCCTGCACTCCACGCGGCAACTTTACGCCGGTGCTGGTGGAACCGGAGGTCTGGAGAAGAGCGCACTGGCGGCACTACGGAAAAAGACCGGCTACACCTTCGCCAATTGCAAGAAAGCCCTGGAAAAGCACAACAACGACGTCGGTTTGGTGGGTATTTACTAGGGTAATACTTTATATATGCTCATATAATTCCTTACCTTAAAGGCGGAAAAGTGGCTGCATGAGCAGGCCCAGTCGCTCGGCTGGACCAAGGCCACCAAACTTGCAGATCGAGCCACTGCCCAGGGTCTAATTGGAGTCCTCATCCGCGGCAATCGCGGCGCCATGGTCGAGCTCAACTGCGAGACGGATTTCGTGGCCAGGAACGACACCTTCAAGCGATTCGTAGATCATGTTGCCTGCATGTGTCTGCACTACACGGACTTGACGGACTTCGATGGAGATCTGTGGAAGGTGAGAAGGGGTTTAACTAGGATTTAAACATTAAGTAAATTTACTTTTACATCAGGCATTTCAAGTTTTTAAACCATTTAAATTGTTCAGAATTAAATTGGATCTTAAAGGAACATGTTAAACTTAATTATTTAAACGGTTTAGAATTCTGTCTGAACCTAATTCAAAGCCAACAGAAATCAGTAGAACAAAGTTATTTGCAATTCTTTTTCGAATGTATAAAGCTTCTTCTCTGTTAATAACCAGTTTACAACCCTTTCTTAAAATTATTTCTCATATACCAAAGCAAATATTCCTTTCAGCTCGGCTTTGATGCGGACGCCCTGAAGAACCTGCGGACGGAGGAGGGCCGCACACTGGGCGACCACCTGGCCCTGCTAATCGGCGCCATTGGCGAAAATGCTTCCATCCGGCGGGCACTGTGCTTCAAGGTCAACAACGATCTGAAACTGGTTGGCTACGCCCACCCGGCACCCACCAACGTGGGCACCACCGAGGGCATTACCCAGGTGGGCAAATACGGAGCCATCGTCGCCTACCGATCGACTCACAAGCTGCTGGACTTTGAGTTCCACAAGAGCATCTGCCAGCAGATCGTGGGAATGAAGCCGGTGAAGATCGGGGAGTACGACAAGGACAAGCCGGCGGAGAACAAGGACGACGAGACGTGCCTGATCCACCAGGAGTATCTGCTGGATGCGGACAAGACGGTGGGCGAGGTTTTGCAGGAGCACAACTGCGAGGTCGTCGACTACCATCGTTTCGAGTGTGGAGAGCAGACGGAACGCAGCCTGGAGGCCATCATCCGCTCCCAGCACCAGAGCAGCAATTAACTAGCCCCTAAGCAGACTCTAGATCACTAAATTGTTATACGCACCAGCCGAAGATTGTTAACCCCCTTAATTCTGGACATAGTTCTGGTCAAAATTTGCATGTGAAACAAGTACAACAACCACAACGATCAGAGCTGCCTGTGTTATTTAAATACTCCATGAGTCATGGCAAAAGATTGGGGTGATCGCCGAGGGGAATGTGGCTGCTATTCGCTGCGTGCGCCTGCGCAGAACGGGAAGCACGCTTGAGCGGTTTCCGGCGGGGGAACGGGCAAACGGACAACGCCGGCAGAATGAACTGTTTATGAACGTGTTTTGTTCTGCAGCCGGTAATTACCCGCTCGCCATACGATAGCCCAAAAGAAAGAAAGGTTCTTGTAGGGGACAAAGGCAAAACAGGCACCAAAATACCAGGTGAATGTATTTAGTGCTTTTCTTTCTGCATTACCACCGGTTTAAAGAGTTCACCGAGCCACGTGCAGGGCGTTCAGGAAATATAAATTGGAGTAAAATAAGATTCCCTTGGTCAAGGCGTCAAATTTTCAATGTTTATACGGGAGTAATATATAAAGTATATATACATGAAATGTAATGAACATTTTAAAAAGCTTTTGCATTATAAAAAAAGATAGAATAGCACAGGTTAAAAGTAATAAAATCCTTTTAGTTAATGACTTTTTCAATATGTTATTTAATTAGATGAAAATGCTTTTTGATTAAATAAAATAAAACTGCAAAGCATTGTTTTTTTTCTGGTTTAAATGCCATTAGCCTGCCTACAACTTGTGTATTAAATACACAAAATGGGGAAGTTCTTTGCAATATTTTAAATAAATACTTTTCAACACTAAGCTATTAGAAAGCATATAGTAAAATCAAAGTAGGTCTGTCAAATCAATAGCTCAAGTGTCAAATCGTTGTAGCCATTTAATCATTTTGAGAGCTCTGATTGCTCAGCATGGACTACCTGGACATTGAATCCTTCCGTTCGAAGTACAGCGACATAACCGTGACCGCCGTGCCCACTCGCTCCGAGGAGCCCTCCGACATGGAAATGGCGGCCAAACACCAGGAGCCGCGGGTGGAGATAACCCGGGTGAACGGAGAATCTGGAAGCAGCTTCACTGCAAATCTAGCTATGATGCAGCGCAACAGGCAGCAGCAAAACGCCGCCGCCTTTGCATACGCTAGCGAATACAAGGAGGTGATGGCCAAATTGGAGTACACCAAGTACATGCAGTCACAACTCCAGCTTATGTTCTTGGCAAATGGAGGGGGCAATTTGAGTGGAGCAGGACTCGATAGCGGTCTCTATGGGATGATGCCGACTTCTATAAGTAAGAGAGTGAAAAATAAAAATATAGTTGGAATTTACATATTAGATAGTGGTCCTGAAACCTTCCTATAAATGCATAATGAGTCTGCTAACATCTTAAGTCTGGTTAATATTTGGGTTACGAATCATACTAAATGTAATAGGATTTCTATTTTCCATATATTATGAAATTTGAAAAAATTCAAATATTAAAGAAAGAGAGAAATCCGAAGTTCCGAAATTAACGATCGAATTCTCAAATTGAGGTATACTTTTGGAAAAATTGTTGCTTTTGGAAAAAAATTAGTAAACAACCTTAAATTTCTAAGTTTTTCAAAATGGGAAAATATTGAGTAAATTGTATAATTTTTTGAAAAATACTCTGTTCACAAATACATACTTTATAATACTCCTTTCAACTGGCTAACGTTTTCCACACTTTCCAGATCTCGATGACAATGCCAATATAGTGGACAAGTACGGCGATCTGCTTAATCTCTTGCCCGAGATGCGTCCCAATTTGCCGCCAACGGTGATGGGTTTGCGGGCGCCTAAGGAGCGACTTCAGCGGGACATAGCCCAAGCCAGGGTTCGCGTGAGGGAGTGCCTCCTGCTCCTAGAGAAGGATCGTTTCCAGGAGACGGAGGTCATCCCCATCAGCGAGTGACGTCACACTGGGGCAGGTTCTCCCTCTCCGTAATTTTAACGACACCTCTACGCGAATGCGACTGCCATGATAATAAAACAAAAAACGAGAACAACAAAAGCCATCGGGGAGTTCTGGGAACCCTCCGTGTTTATGGGTATGACTATGATATGATGGTGGGGCGATGGGTTTAGAATAGCCAAATACTACGACTATGGTGATGTCTGCAGCGCAGTGGCCGGCATTTTGACACTAGCGAGCAGCGGACCGAGAAACTTGTCCACCAGAAATGGGGATTGGGATTCGATGCTGTGATACTCTGTAAATAGTTAGTAGTTTGTGCAATCAGAAAATAATCTATGATATTCACTTACCATCAGTGCTCTAAGGAGCTGCGAAAATTGTTCATAAGATTTAAATATCAAATTACTAATACATAATGTCAGTTATGTATAATAAATCTGGTATGCACATACAAACTAGGAATCCTTCTAGTAAGAGGGTCAGAATAGGACCTTACAAATTTAATACAAACTTAGACTGCCCCAATGTAAATATATACATAAATTTTTACATACATACATATGTACCTGCCACAATCCGTCGGACTTTCCCCAAGCCGCATTCCCGGTTATTAGTTTTGCAATTGCAAAACTTTGTGCTTAAATTGTTAGCTTACAAACAACTTGTAATTGTTAATAATAGTTTCTGCTGTCAACTGTTCGTGTATACCCCAATATGTTGGCCATGGTCAAAGTGGAACTTGAAAGGGTCACATTCACTGACGTCGGCAGAGAAGCACACATACATACGGCGTACATAAGTATGTACAAACATATTTACGTGCGATCTCGCTTCAATTGAAGTTTTTCACGTTCAGTCGTAAGCCGACTTTTCACGGGTTAAGTTTATCGTTGAAGCGACCGATCAGCGACCGAATCGCACGCTTATATCCTTTTGTTTTACTTCCGCTTGGCGTTAATTCGGGTTAATTTGTTTTGAAAGTGCGCAAAAATAACAGTGCCAAAAAACAGCAAAACGCGTTATCACTTTTTGTCGCTCTCCTTTCTCACTAACGGTAAATAACGCGAAGGAGCACGCGAAAGAGAATTGCAAAAAAGACGGCCAAATAAAGCGAATGCCAGAAAGGTGACAGCAATAAACACAACAAATAGTCGGCTGGGTGCGAAAAGTTAATTAAATTGTTTAACTTTTGGAGTTGCAAAGCGCCGGTGCAACGACAACAATTTGCAGCTGCATGCTTTGATTTAGATTTACACACAAAGCGCACACACATAAGAAACAATTTGCATTGCAGCAGCCGCAAATTGGACCACAAAATGCCGCCGTTTAATTTCATCAAGCAGGTGAGTGCAAACAGAAGACGATTAATGTTTCTACACGTTTTATGGCGCGAAGTAATTAATTAGTGTTTATGTGGTAAGTCGATTAAGAAATCTGCGCTTCGATTGCAGATGTGCAATTATTGTAGAAATACTAATGTATGTACATACATATGAATGTACATATGTAAATAACAAGCGTTAAAAGTTTCCTAAACAACTAAATTAAGGCCCATATTTGAAACAAATTTATATGTTAATTTTGTTGTAATCATTATACTTAAAACAAAATTTTGAAATCGGTTGCAATCCTATTTTGTAATATCCTTCCTAAGGTAGATTCCTCCTGAAAAAATTATGTAAACTCTTAACTTTATAGTTTTAAAACTGACTCCTTAGATTTGTACTGTCATAATATAAATAGCATACGGAAGAACATGTTATTTAAATTAAGCTACCAATTTGTAATGTTTAAGTAATGCATATATTCGTGACTTGCAAAATGTTATATCAATACGGAAATATTATCTAATTTATCAGTGTAATGTTTTGCCCCCGACTTTTTCCCCGATAAGAAATCAATATTGTCGACCTTGCCGCAAATCAATTAATTAAAATATCGCCTATTTTCCAAGAAGAACAATGAGCTATGACAAACAAATGAATCAGAGCACTTTAAGATTGTAAAGTTTCCCGTTCCCCACAATCGAACCTAATGGGGTCTCCAATTTACCATATCTGTGGAAGACAAGCGGCAGACAAGAGACGTGTCTAATTGGCAATTTCAAAACATAACGAAACAAAACAAAGAAAATATAATACGGGAAATGGTAAGCCAATTTGAATGTATCCGAACCAAGTCTAATGAAATGCACAACGAAAATGGATTTATCCAAATCAGGCGCCCAGCTGGAGACTCCAAGAAGTGGGGATCCGAAAGAGATTTTCGTAATTAAGCGGGCTTCTGGAGATGCTTGAAGATGGCTTCCGGTGATTAAATGTTAGAAACAAGACCAAACCGATGGGTGCTGGGAGAACTACGCATAAACACGAACCCCGGGAAGGGGAGTATTAAGATAAACAAACCATAAAGGTGGGAACAATTTCAACGCAACTCTAAGTCCAGCCCAACCGCAGCTTTCTTTATGTTTTTTATGGCTTTTCCCCCACTAATTTTGTTAGATCTTGGACTTGGCCAAATGCAAATGGGTCAATGGACAGCGTTTCGAGGGTATATGATTATACCCGACTATTTTTTAAGGGCCTGCCTAATGAATTTCCAAGCCAAGTTTTTCCCAGTCGTGTGATAATTAAGACGAATGACCCCTTAGTTAGAAAGTTATTGCAGCACATCTGCGTGTAGTCCGAGTTTTTTAGAGATTATCTCAGCGCATCTGAACCCGAACCGAATCTGGTTATATTTACATTATTCAGTTTTTGGTTTTAAGTATTTAACTCTGGGTTAATTGCATGTTAAGTAACAGTTAAATAACCGTTAGGCGGTGTTTGTTTATGACTCCCAAATGCTCAGCTTCCATCGCAATTGTTGTCCAACTTTTCTCTCCCTCCGAATTCAATGAAGAAATTATTTTTAACTCTTCGTGTTAAATTCACCCACACACTTTGGCTTTGGTTTTTGCCTTTATCTTTCAGTTTTTGGCGTGGGAAGCAGACAATACCAAATTGTTATTACGAGTAGCAACAAAAAAAAAAGAGAAAAACCGCAGAAGAAACTGAAAATAACATCTGCGGTAGCAAGCTCGTGAAATGTGCAGCAAATCAATTGTACAAGCGGAAAATCCAATTCGATTTTCAATCCAATGATCGAACTCCTTTCAAAACCATTTTGATTTGTGGTCTCTGGTTTTGTTCCCGCCTATCGGAGCTAATTAACCATTTATTAAAGCTAAATCAAAAGCACTGCCAGTCAAAACACCTGTTATTGTTATTGATATTCAGCTTTTACCATTCGAGCTGCCGACGTGTTTTGGCCTTATAAAAGGCTACAAGTGAAAGAAAAGTTTAATTTTTAGATCGAAGATGAAATGATCTTCTTTTGTTAAAAGAATAAAAAATACGAGAAATTGCTCAAAATTGAATATTTTCTTTAAAAAAGCTGTCACCAAACTAATTTTCAAAATTTATTTTGCATTTCATATCAGTAAATAAAAATAGTATGACAGTTATTTAAAAACCCTAAGGATAATTTTTTTTATTTTCAATGTGATACATGATAAAAATGTATTAAAAAATCGAAACCAGAATGAAATCCAAATCCTATTTAAATTACTTTAAATAGTTTAACTATTATCTTTATAGTTTAGAATTACATCCCTTTTAAACGTTGTTTAATCATACAATGTTGGGACTTTTATTACTAAAAGTTATAACTGTTAAGTAGATATTAAACCAGTTATTTTAAAGACAAGCTCAATTTATAAAAATAATAATACTCTGTCAACTGTTACGAAAGTATTTCAAAAAAACTTGTCTCACACAGGACATTTTTCTTTATTTTTATGGATGGTAAAACTTCAATACTATAGCATTACTGCAGTAAAAATAGTATCCCACTATTGTAAATCGATCATGGCCTAAACTGCCAGAAGAGCAGCCCATTCCCATGGCAAGAAACACCATTGAGAGGAGTCAGCTGGTGGTTTGGTCTGGATCTGGATCTGGATTGGCTGGCAATTAACGTGGGCTGTTTTAAGCCCGAAGATCAAATGAAGAAGAAGCTACTGGCATTCTTTGGCCATCTTCAGTTGTGGCTAATGAAAAGGCTGGAAAAGAGCAAAGATCCATCGGCACAATCACCGCTGGAGGAAAACTGAAACAATAATAAGAAGAAAAAAAGCGTCTAAAGCGGTACATTGCGGCCCGTTTCCCGTTTGCAGTTGCGGAAAATGCCACAAGTCGATGTTGCATTGTGGGCCTTGCAATGTCTTATGTTTGCATTTCGGTTTATACCGACTTTTTACGTAAATGTCGCGTGTGGCGGCGGCGTTGGCCACAAAATGGTCTTAATGTGTTTGGCGTTTTGGCACCGCAACAAAAGGCAAACAATCAAATTGTTTGTTGGCTTCTCTGGCTTTTGGGTAAAAGGAAAAGTCAATTGCCTAGTCGTTTGTCTTGCTGCGGGTTGACGTGTGTAATTATCATAAATAGTAAATTGCATTTTTCATCATGCTAAAAGTCGCACATTTTCAGCTGGAAAATGCTTTGCATTTCGCATCTATATACATTTACAATTTACATTTTCATTTACGATTGCTTTCATTTTTGTTTTTCGCCATTTCCCCAGTTCACGCCTCAACCTCAACGGTTGATTGAACTTGTCAGAGTTTTGAGTTGCCCAGAGTTGGGGGAAAAACATGGAAACATGGAAACATGAAACATGGACAACAAAGAGAGTTGTGTTTTTTTGAAAGGCATCGCATTGTCTTGCCAAGATGCGGATACGTGGATACGCAGATACAAAGATACACCGTTCTCTGGGCCAGACCCATTAGTGTCTTTCACGCTTTGGAACACACTGGAAAACCATTTCGACTCATTACCGAGTCATACACAAAACATTTTCGACTTAATTGAGACGAACTCGGCTCTGAATTGTTGAACAAATCGCTGCCAAATTGTTCCCCGAAATAATTTGACCACTTTCCTTACTCGCTGAACCCGGGGGAGTTAGTCTTTGGCTCCGACACCGACTCCCATTCCCCAATCTCCGTTGGCTGTTAATGATTATGGCGAATGCCCGTCTGCCAGTCTTTAAGCATAAATCATAAAAGTGAAGACTCAAGCCAGTCGAGCGTGGCAGTTCGGTTGACAAAAGCTGTAGGAAACCCGAGAGATGCAAATCGATGGA